AAGAGAGAGAACAGCATGTCTGTGCCTGTCAACACCAGAAACTCTCCCCGGCTCCTTTGAAGCAATGCAGCCGCTTGGTGGGAGCTGACAAGCTCGTTCCCTTTCAAAGAACCTGCTCGTCTACCAGCCCTGGCACACACGAAACATTCCTGTCACGGCCTTCAGAGCCTGAATTTCAGCTTTGATCATCTTAAAGCACATAAATCTTTCAAAAAATTTGGGGGGAGGGAATGAAAAGATTCTCTTTGGTAATGCTCAAAGCTGCTGCTTGAAAGGCTGGAGTGGCTACTGTGGCTCTGTGACATTTAAAGAAGTCTGCTAATGTGGACTGGACAGAAACCCAGGAGAAACTGGCCCATCTGTGATGTTTCCTGCCCCAATTCCCCTGCTCAAAAGATGGTGGGTATGCATCCTTCATCTCGCCTGCACGCCTTTGCTTCTGTCAGTGCCTTGCTCCAGCAGGCAATTGGATGAGACTGGAGCTGCGCAAAGGGACCGCAGTTCGTGGCGCTTGCCTGAAATGCTGACATAGAGAGAATAGGATCCAGAAAGCAATCCAGAAAGCAACCTGCACTCCCGCAGCTGAGCAGTGCCAGCGCTGAGCCCATGGACTACTTGACAGCCAGTGCTCCACTGTGGCTAAAGTGTCTTCTTCAAAGGACAGTAATTTGCTTTGCCACAAAGCCAGGGACCTATATCTTGGCCCAAGGTCATCCTTCCTACTCTTGACCATTGTTTGGACTCATCACTCATCTACCAGTAGCCAACAAATCACCTCTGCATCCACGCAGATCCTCTCTCATTTCTCTATGTACCAAGACGCAGGTAAATACCCGCTTCCATTTCGACAGCTGAGCATCCGGCACTGATTTGAGATGGAGAAGGACAAGATGAGAACCCGCTCCCGTCTGTGGGCATCGTGCAGCCCAAGGTGGGAGTGCGGCCAGGGCTGGCTCGCTGCAGGTTACTTACATGCGTTGGGGGACCCGTTGGGGAGAGGCAGGTAGGATCCTGCTCGCCAAGACCTGGAGCGAAAGTTCTTCTTGCACTTGCCGCAGTCCTGCCCCGTGGTGTTGTGCTCGCACTCGCACTGCAGGCTGCCCTCTTTGAAGGTGCACAGGTTAGCATGGAGGTTGCATTTACACCTGGAAGACAGGAGAAGAGCTGTCAGGTATTGCTGCTACTCCTCCTTGCCCTGGTGTAGTGCCATCTGTGTGCATGAAAATGTAGCAGTGAAGCTGGGCTGGTTACCCCTTTTCTGTTCCTTTTGCAGGACTTTTTCACCGAACTCAGCTGTTTTCCCTGGGTATCTGGTGCTGGGGTTACGATGTCCACGTCCTCGCCCAAGGTGGATCTGCAGTCTCTATTCCAAGTGAGAGATACTTTACTCCCACCACCTGACTGCGGTAGCACAGACCGTTTAATGGTAAGTCAACATCTCCAGCTGAGACTCCTGGAAGAAGTCTCACACATTTCAGGCTGTTACAGACATCTGGGTGACCAGTTCAGTTGGAGGCTTTTAGAGGCAGAGGACAGCCTTGGGATTTTGATGGAGGAGCACAGCTAACACCGGTGGGACTCGGGCCCCTGACCCCTGCACAGTGTGCTATTTCAAGAGTGTTTTCTCCTGTGGTGTGAAGCTGCACAACACAAACCCTTTTCCCTAGGTGCAGCGCAGCCCCAGCCTGCTGTGACCAAAATAACACAGAGAACAAGTCACCATCAGAATCTGCCTTTTAGTCCCCGCCTCATCAGAGAAAAACACTAGTCAGCAATTTGCAAACATTAACAAACTTTTAATGAGCTGTAGTGCAGTATGCAGGGAATAATTATCTCCATGCGTGATAATTCCTGTTGCTCAGACTCCGGAGGTGACTTGCGCAGAGCACAGAGGCTGAGCCCATAACTCAGACGTGGCTCTAGTGACTCCGGGGCCTGAGCCGAGGCCATCAGACAGAGACTCTGGGGACCAAAACCCCTCATTTCATCCCAGACAATGGATCCCTAGCACAGCCCGCTGGTTTTTCACAGCTTCATGCACTAATTTACATCCTCAGAAGCAGAACCATTAGAAAACAGTAATGCTGTGCCTTATGTGAACAGGTAGAGGAGTCTGGCCATGCTTCATTTTACTGGGCTAATTGCACAAGAGATGCAAAGCTGAGGGGAATGAACTGCGTGCAGACGAGGTGGAGGAACCATGGCCTGCTTCTTCACCTGCTCTGTCTGTACAGGGATAAACAACCTGTATGAGGCTGGGAGCGGCGAGCCAGGTCCCTCCCGGCTGCTGGTGCTGTGCATGCCCACCAGCTCCTGGGGCCTCTGCCCTCTCCGTTGGAGCTCCTAGAGATGCTCCCCAGCTGAGGCCACCTTTGCTGTGCTCCTCCTCACGCATGGCTGGATAAACTGACCTCATGTATGTTTTCTTTTTTCCCCTCCTCCCCTCCCTGTCCTTAATTCTAGCAAACCCCGCTCAGAGGCTAAGCATAAGCTGGATGAACAGTCTCTCTCCCTGTCTTACAACCCTGCCCTGTCTCTGACCAAGCAGAGGAGGGAATATCGCAGTCTCTAAAAGGGAGGAAGGCAGAAAACGTGGTCCGTGGAGCAGAGACAGACACACTCAGCATGCTCCACTTGAATCTGTGTGTTAGCAAGAGCTGGAGATGCCGCGTCACAGCTGAAAGCACTAACAGCCTCCGAGCATTGGTGCTCTGGGAGCAAGCCGTGGATCCAAGTGTCCAGGGAAGGAAGCTGCTTTGGCCGGTACCTACAGAGGAGAGATGCTGGATTTCAGCTGCTCTGTGTCCCCTCTGCCTCTGGTGAGGAAGGATTTCAGCTGAGCCGTCCCAGCCCTTTGGCAGAGGCGATGCCCAGCCTCAGGGTGCTGTGGAGCCTGACTGAATTATTCAGTGTCCACACAGCACGGCCTCCTTCTCTCACTTCAGAATGAGCAGACGGGAGGAAAGCAGGCAAGATAGTGGGTTAAAGCAGGTCAAAGCCTCACCACTGCTGCTGTGGGCTCAGCCTGAATCAGAGCAACAGCTACTGGGAGCTGCAGCTCTCCTCCCTCCTACTGCTGGTGGGAGCGAGGGGACGGGAGCCAGCCCTAAAATCCAGCTGAGTGGGAGCTTAAGAGCCCCAGAGGAGGGGATACAAGGAAGGCAGGGCCTGGCATCCCCCTTGTTTTCTCCGAAGTCTGGGATGACATGGAGAGTAGCGCTTGGCTCCTGTCCTTGACCCCGCTTGCCTCGCAGGGGGATGTCACCCACCGCCTGGTCCCCTGCGGTGGCCTGGGGCAACCTCCATCAACCGCCCGCAGCACATCCTTACTCCTGGCATCACCCGCTGAGAGCCAAGCAGCCGTTTCGGGGTGCTTCTGCTGGCTCCAGGCTGCTGCCATACGGGAAGGTGAAACCCGTTCACTGTTAATTTGGCTCCAGCTACGAAACCTCTGCCAAGCAGCACGACCCAGCTCTCTTGCTACTGGGAGAGCGAGGCACGGCTGCGTGCGGGAGGCACTCAGCCATGCCTACTTGTACACCCACACCACTCGCTTGCTTCTGAGGAGGGCTGGGGGCTGAGCACCAGCTCCCGGGACAGACCCCAGCCCCTGCACAGGCACCAGCACGCTGCCCTGCCAGCAGGATGGGGACAGGGTGGGAGCTCCTGGACGCCCCCCAGCCACTGGGTGTAGGGGTGGCGGGGTACTGCGCTTGCCAGCGAAGTGGTGGGGCACTGCTCTTGCCAGAGAAGATCCTCTCTTCCTAAACTGGTGTAAACAAGGAAAACTAAATAAAGAGAAAGCAGAGGCAGCCGGTCACCCTGCCTGCCTGCAGCCGGGTCACTTGTATTTCTCACTGTTCAGCCCTTTGCCACTGTGCAAAAGTTTTGTTATCCAAAGGATCAATTTTACCGAGGAATTGCTTTCTGAATTCGACCTTTGAGGATCATCAATCTAAGCAGAGAACTATAACCCCAGCAAGCTGACCCCGCAACACAGCACTTTTCAGCCCAATCAATCAGGCTGCATTATTTAATAGCAAACAGCCGAGCGCCTTCAGCCAGCCCCGATTGCCAACCCCTTTTTGTGTGAAGGTTTCTGCATCTGGGCCTCGCTGCTGCTCTGCTCGGCAGCTCGGATTTAACCCCTTTTTCAGGCTTCTCTGTCTCCTCCTCTGGGCCTGCAGCCCAAGGACGCACGTTCACCAACGATCTGCGCACAATGTCTTTCTCCAGCCAAGATCCAGCTGGTGGAGACTGGAATAAATGACATTAGCCCAGTCCCCTGGGTGACAGCGGCTAGTCCTGCTTGCCTTAGCTCAACTTCCTCGGGCGGCCAGCCATCGCAGGAAAGAGAGGATGAAGGGAAAGGTTAGGAGCTACTTAGCAATGAGGCTTAAATAGCAGCAGTGGGGCAGACACCTGCGCTGTGTCCTGCAGAAGGCAGCGATGGCCCCGCTCCAGTGCCGGGGCCGCTCCAGCAAAGTGCTGGTTGCAATATGGTCTCTTTGGCTCCGGAGGAGATCTGCAGGGCTGGGAGTGTTTCTCCTCTCTAGCTCACGGGTCAAGGCTAGCAGTGACGGGGCTGTTTCTCGGTGAGCATTCAGAGCCCACGTAGGATGCAGCCGTGGTGGGGCACAGCCCGGAGAAGAGCTGCCCCAGCGCAAACCCAACAGGAGCTACAGCACCCATGGGCACCCTCCATGACCTGGGGACACCCAAGTCCAGCGCTGGCCTGTTAGCAGATGCACATAACTGTGTTTTGCATTAAACAGAGTCTGGCTCACATTGTTGCTGGCAAGAGTGGCCAGAGCAACGTATGGCCCAAGATATTACCATTTGCACAATGGGGTATTTATGGGTTTATCTGAGTGCAGGTCATTCAGCTGCTGCCTTCCCTCGGAGTGGTGCAGTGTGGGCTGACGCTGCACACGCCTCCACCAGGGAACATCACGGCGCTTGGAGAGCCAAGGGAAGTTTACAGGAAAGTGTTCTTTTTTTCTTTTTCTTTTTTTTTTACAGCCATAAAGAACAGTTTGGCATCCCTGCATTTCTGCAAGTCAGCATTCTGGAGGTCACAGCAGCGAGCGGTTGGAGAGGCGTCTGGCACCAAACCCGCGTGCGAGGGAAGGAGATGCCTGCGCACAGGCTTTGAAGAGGGGTGCAGGCGGGGGTGAGTGCCGCAAACCTGCAGGAGCCGCACTGGGAGTGGGAAAGCAGCCCCTGTCCCTGAGCTTTCATTAATAATGACTTTTGAAATAACTTTAAAAACCCATCCCAGCCCTTTGCTTTCCTTGTGAGGATCCTCATGCGTCTCGGGTGGTTGCGCAAACCCGCCGGAAGCCGCACTGGGAGTGGGAAAGCAGCCCCTGTCCCTGAGCTTTCATTAATAATGACTTTTGAAATAACTTTAAAAACCCATCCCAGCCCTTTGTTTTCCTTGCGAGGATCCTCATGCGTCTCACAACCTCTTTTCTGTCCATAACCCCACCTTGCAGAGCAGGGGAGTCAGGCAGAGAGCATCTCCTCATCCCTCTCCCTCCCCGCTGGGCCGAGCCAGCCTTGGGGTGCTGGTACCCCCCCGCTCAGGACTGACACCGTGACCCTGCTGCTCTGCTGGGCAGGGCTGGAGGAACTGCTGCTGGGTGGAGACCCAGAGAGCTGCTCCCTCCCTGTGCACCTCCTGCCATGGACCAATCCTGCCTTGCCACAAGCTCCTTAAAAAAGAGCCTGGGTGAAGACATAGGGCAACAGAAGTCCACAACAGTGGGCCACCACCTCCTCTCCCAGTCTCCTTCCAGTCCAGCCTGTGCTCTCATCTCCACCCCATGCTTACCATGAGGACATCAGTGCATGGTCACATGGCCCCAGGGATGCTGTGGAGACCTGGTCCGCTCCTGCTGGCTCCCAGGCCACCGAGCTCCTGCTTTCCCCCACCATCGGCTTGGGACTGGTGCCCCCCCCTCCCCTTCTGCTCTCCAGAGCTCGCCTTCGGGGGAGGGGCGCGCAGCGGAGAGCTGCTAATGACTGCCATCCAAAGGAAGGCTTATGATAGCTTTCCCCTGAATTGTTTGCTCTCACTGTAATTGATGAGCCTTTAATGAGTCTCATGGGATGATGCGTTTGAAGGGAGCTCTTTCCTCTC